GGACCGTAATAGCTGCACACCAGGCGATCGCCCATCGGACGCTCGMCAAGTGGAACTCGGAAGTCACTGGAACTTTGCCATTTGCGAGCTAGGTCMATCGTACCGGCACAAACGACCACTTCGTTAGAACGTAATTCTAAAGAATTTTTACGAATATACAATCTATTGAAGAATATTTAAAAATTGAATGCTCAAATCGATAGTGTTAGGAAATTAACATCGCCAAATACGGAAAAAAATTATTTCAATTATTGTTCAGGGACATAAATAATTCAAATATTTATGAAGAAGTTATAAAATTAAAAATACTGTAACCAACTTAGAAAAATCAATGTTCAATGAATACAATTAATGTAACGAAAAGTTATCTATCGCAAAATACCCAACGGACGCTCGCCAARTGGAACTCGGAAGTCACTGGAACTTTGCCATTTGCGATCTAGGTCCATTGTACCAGTAACAGCCGACCACTTCGTCAGAACGTAATTCCGAAGAATTTTTACGAATGTACAATTTTTTATAGAATTTTAAAAATGAATGCACAAACTGGTAAAGTAGGAATAATTGAGAAATAAAAATATCTAAAAAAAAATAAAAAGGTCAATTTTTGGAGTACCGCAATATGGGAAAATTATTCGAGTGATTATAAAATATAAGAAAATAATTGGGTTTGAAAATTTGAGAATAATCTGTAAATATAATATTATAAGACTTCAACACAAATGAGCATTCAAATATAATTATATTCGAAAAATTTGTATGTCATTCCACGACTTTGACGCCAGCGAATAATCGGATTCGGGTTCGGACTGAAAGCATTGACGGTCCGTAATAGTTGCACACCAAGCGGGTGGAACTCGAAAGTCACTGGATCTATGCCATCTGCGAACTAGGTCCGTCGTACCAGTAACAGCCGACCACTTCGYCAGAACGTAATTCCGAAGAATTTTTACGAATATACAATCTTTTATAGAATTTAAAAAATGAATGCACAACGTGGTAAAGTAGAAAAATTGAGATAAAAAAACACCAAAAAAAAGTTCAAACGGATAATTGTTTGAGAAACACAAATATATGTTACAAAATATTATGTTTAATCCTAAAATATCTTAAAAAGGTCTAGATTATTTTAAAAATTTAATCAAACATAGATCTCCTTGGTATCCTAGCACTTGAAAACTATACTGAGAATTTTAAATTTCTAAGCATTATTTTTACACTGCTGAAAAAAAAAATAAATGATAAAATGAAAAAACAAAAAAACACACATTACAATGAAATCAATACAACTCCTCGTTCCAATCAGAATCTAATATACCTAAAAAAGTTGGAACGGAAATCTTTCGAGAAGCACATATTATGGACAAGCTAATCGAGTGATTGCAAACTAAGTAAAAAAAAAACTGAAGAAATAATCAAGAAACGGCACATTTTAAGACTTTAACACAAATGAGCATTCAAATATAATCATATTCCAAAAGATTTGTATGTCATTCCACGACATTAACGCCACCGAGTAATCGGATCCGGGTTCGGAATGTTGGTATTGAAGGACCGTAATAGCTGCACACCAGGCGATCGCCCATCGGACG